TAGTCTCTAGGATGGTTGGTTTGGTGTCAGTCAGGAGTTTGTGGTCTCGGCTGGAACAATATAACGGCAAACTCACAGTCCATCAGAGCTATTGCTCGCTAGGGAAATTCAACATTCATGATGTGATTCGCGCTAGTTGCCGACATCAATAAGTAAATGGAGGTAGCAGGGCCGCGTTGGGTCTTCAATGTAATCACTCTCAGCCAGCGATATGTACAAATGCCCACTGGAGTCCGCCTGATGCCATATCCAACACCTTTCCACCTAATATCGCTCCGCGAGAATCATATTCTACATCTGCTTTCTTTTAAATACGTTCACCAGTTGTACTAATCATTATTTCGCAATGTATCTAATACAATTATGAGTTTTACTGCATTAGGGATGATTCACGCTTAACCGTTTTGGGTTCCAGTCGAGCATGGACACAAATTGTACGAGCCATTTTTTTAGAAAATAATTTTCCCTGCACTGTGCCTCTGACTAACAACTCAATCTAGGCCCGGTAATACGGACTCGACACGCACACGACACGGACCCGAAACGGTGTAGCGTGAACCACCCTTTACTTGATTCAAACAGACTGTGTAAGCGATGTAAATGCAATATTTTTAGAGTATTTATAAGAAAAACTACTCTGACAAGTGGATAGAGTAACATGAAAATGAAAAACATCAATTTTCCTGATAATAATACCCTTTGTTTATGCAGTACAGTTCGTCCTTATGAAATATTGAATGTTTCTTGCTTGGAATAAATCGGGCTTTGTATTTATTTTTTATTTATATTTTTCGACAAATCCTTGTAAATATTTAAGTAGATTTAGATAGCAGTTAAAACTAGAAGAAGTCGTAGAAAAGCCGCCGGCTTTTGCTAGAAATGTGTAAATCAAAGGGTGAGAGGCAAACTTAGTCATACAACTACGATGGTGGTGACGTCGTAAAATAAATCTGCCAAACGCACACGCCGGTCAGAGATTGTACCCCAAAATTATGCAGTCCACACCTCACTCAACCACATTTATAAATTGTCTCTTCTCCATTTGGTACCACGTATATCATAAAAACAAAAAAGATCTAACCCACTTTACAATTTACTGCATTTTACAGAGTTCGCCGGATTTTCATCGAAATTAGAGCATTTAAATTAACTCCCTATCCTTACCATACGTCACCTCTTCAATCCCGTCAGTCTGCCCTTAAAGCGAACAGGGTGTTTTTTTGTAAATACGAAATTGTGTCGAAATAAACAAATTTACCCATAATTCAAAAATGCACAAGAAAAGGGAAACACAAAAGAAGGTAATTATAGACGTAATACTTTAGGGAACAATAACAGTTTATCATCTTCACTTTAACCGAGTATTCGGTGCCTTTTACTTGCGTTTAAACTTCCCCCAACACCCACGAGTGCTCTACATTTTGCTCTGTTTCAAATCCATTTGTTTGCCATTGTTTCTTTTTTAATATAGGTAACCCGAAAAATAAAAAGATAAGACAATAGCTTCTATATAAACAAATATAATTCAACAACAAGTAGATACTAGTGTTGGTACCACAATGAGTACCTAGGCAAGTAAAATTGTACCACTTCATATGGATTATGTACGTATCTAAATATAAATTCAAGTCAATCTGAACAGGTTATGAAAACTCGAAATTTTTAAATGTGTCCAAGTGTTCAACAAGAAAAAAAAAAAAAGAACATATATGCAGTCAGTCTAAATAGCATTGAAGAGACAGACAATATGTGAATTTACGAGTATGGTTTTAGTGTAATGGAGTTTTCATGCTTTAACTCAGTTTTATGTTGCCGTGCTCCGTATATAATGAGTTGAAATCGCTTTTCTACGACATCTCAACCGTTGCATACTAATATTGTTGCAAATCACAATACCTCACACTTACCATAATGAAACTTCAACTTTTTGGAAAACTTTTGATTGGCTAATTTTTTAAGCGAGGCTCATGTTACACTGAAAATCTTATTTATTGACCATCGTGGTCGAGTTTCGCCGTTGCAGCATCATAAAAAAGTTCCTATAGAAAGAAAGAAAAGTTTACTGCATTTACGGATTCTTCAATCCAATTATACTTTCTTTAAAAAGAAGACCCAGCCAGTACTACGACATCTTATTTCATATGGTAATTTAACTGCAACAGGAGCTGGTAGTTTAGAACTAAAACCGTACTTAAAATGTCGGTTAAAGAAAACCTAAATGTCCGCGAGGAAGTTATCAACCGATAACACTCATCAATATTGCGATGAGGCTTGCAGTGATAAAGTTAGGGAATTCTGGGACAAAACTGGAAATTGAAGAGGAACAATCCAAACTTGCAGAAGAAGAAAAAGTAATTTGAATTCTGAGTATACCTAATGGAATAAATTTAAGTCGCACCTGTTTAAAAAACATAAAAGAGAAAAATTAAAAGTGTCGCGTGAAATAAAGAGATATCAAAGAAAATTTTCAGTCTCTCGGTATTGTTCAGATTTTAGAGTTCAGCTCAGAAAGTTTGCGTTTCAACTAATTTCAATGAGATTTGGACATCAGAAGACGTCAAATTCTATTTAAATAATTGACGATTGACAAACTTATATTGTATTAAATTCAGCGTAATTTACTAGATAGAAGTGACAAAAATTTTCATTTAAATTATGTTTTCTTTTTCGAGAAACCTCCACTGTTTCAAAGCTTATTTACCAAAAATGTTCTGTTGCTTCAAAAACTGGAAAAAAATATTTGAACCTTCTAAGTTAATTCTAATAGAATAAACGTATATATAAACATTAACAATATAGAGCATACTGTACTGTACTTTATTAGAGTTAAAATTTTATTCCATCGACTTCCTATTTTGAAAAGCACCTGCCTTATGAAACTAATGGAAATTGTTTCGGAGAAAATCTGAATATAATTGCTGAAATGCATCGAAAGTCTAAACAGATATGAGTATAGGAGTATTTCAGTGAATTGAAAACTTACATGCATAAATTGGTAAGCCTTAGAAGATATTGTGTGTAAGTATAAACTTTTCAGAAATCGTTCAGAGAAGCATGTCGTCAAAATCAAGTGGAAAAACAGCTACTATTTCTCAATGTCTACCGCTCTATCCAATTAAATAGCAGCAAAAGGTAGAGCCTGGGTCTTTCGTAAATAAAGCGTGACTAGAATAACCTAGAGAAAACAAATTTATTTTTTATCTTCTTTACAGAGAGCTTATACTGGCGAACGAAGGGAGCAATTACAGCTGCACTTCTCTTAGTTAATTAAGACTTTATGGCGCCCTCTTTAAGCATATGGACTTCGATTAAATTTAACTACAATAATTACAGTTACTACTGCAGCAATTAAATACAGACGGAATAAAGAAGAATAATACCCTAAAACTCGGCAACTTTTATTGCTGGTTTTTAGGGGAATACTCAACAAATTACGTATCTAGAAAAAGGCACACATATGCATATGCATACGCATACCTTTGTTTACAAAAATTTAATAACATTAAACACGTACCTAATGTACGATATATTTAATTTGTGTATATGTTTCATTTCGTTGTGGCAATAGTCGCCAACTGGTGCGTTTTTTTTTTATTTTGCCTTGGATTTGCGGGCAGATACATTAATGGACAAAGCAAAAGTTACTGAATCGCTTTACTTCTCGCAAACTAACAAAACTTGGAAGAAAAAGAACTCCTTCTTTTCTTGCTCGAATAAACAAGCAATTAAGAACCAGGGACTTTGACAAGAATGGCTTGTCAGAAGCACATTGCTTTGGCAACGACGGCTGAAAGGTCCTGAAATAACTACCAACTTTAAGCTTTTAACGATATGGACACCACAACAATCGCTCTTTGTCGGGTTCATCGCACACGTAAACCTTCTTATTCATTGTCTCAAACATTTATTACTTTATCTTTTTCACATTATCAAAAAAAAATCTAAAGAAATCGTCAATTTATCGCACAATTTTCAACTCATTCATACCCATCGTCGTATGCACGCTTCAGTGAGCCGAAAGTTAAGTACGACTAACTTTTAAATCTCGTCATAAAAATTATCACTATAACAACTACAGCATGAATTATTTTATAAAGGTTAACAACAAAACAAAATGTACATTAATTAAAAGGTATAACATAAACAAGCATTAAAAGATTTTATGTTAATTTCATTCCTGTCATCATCATTAAAATAAAATCGTCAGTCCTAAGACTGGTTGGACACGCACCTCCACTCCTTCCTATCCTGAGCTAATTTTCGCATTTCCCCTACCTCTATTCCTCGTGACTCCTATTTCTGTCTCTAATATGTCTCTAACTAGTCCTTTATGCCTGAGAAGATGTCCTGCCAACCTGTTCCTATTCCTGTTATATGCACTTATTAAATAAAGTACACCAAAGTATACCATTAGCAGAAGTGGCAACTGAAAATTGCGCGAAGGCGGACATACACGTACCTACGAAAAATCGTTTCTACGATGCGACAATTCGCATACTGTATACTTTGTGATCCACTCTTTCGCATACGGTATATACGTTTTTATTGGTTGGTTCGGAGTTAATGGTTTGTTTTGTTGATAGTTCCATCGATTGCGTCGGATATTGGTTCAAAGTGTTCGACAAGGATCCTTTTCATTTAGTATCTATCAATTACCGGTTTAATATCGATCTTTCCAGCGCATTAATTGCCGGTAAATTTGAAAGTACGTCAACAGCATGCTAGAAGCGTGTTCAAGTTTTGTCGATTAAGGAGGAAGTTCATGGTTTCTGCCTGCTATTAACGGTCAAATGAAGTTTGTCAGATTATTATTTAATGACCCCACAAATCTCCATCCTTCTTCTAACCTGATAACCGTCATTGATTGGGACTCTACATACCTACTAAAAACTGGACGAGTGAAACCTACTCTAAATTTTCACACGATTCACTCCGACAAATACATTTACCATTTGGTTTTCGTCAATGATAATAAGAAATAATTGAAAGACTTACCCAAGTCCACGCTTTAGCCATGTTTTTGGCGTTGTTTTTCAGATAATTTCCCAAAACCCATCGAAAATTTTCAAATTTACTTTTTCCAACATCGGAAGTGTTCTGCAACAAAGAGCAAAGTTAATAGATTAATTAAATCGTTAACATAACGTAATAAATCGTACTTCGCCTTTAATGCTATCATTTATGGAAAGAAAATCATATTTGTTATCAATCTTTACAACACTTTCACTGGTTACAAAGAGAATGATAACACAGAGAACAAAACATGAAAAAACCACTTTCATTTTCTTAGTAAGACAATATTGGCAAAACTGTCGTTTTAATGGAGAGCGCTTGGGTTTTATTGTATTGTATCAACTCAAGTTGAAACTATAACATGTCTTTGTTGTCAACTAATAGCAGTTTTTAAAACAAATTTGTGGTTATTTCCTTTCCTACATAATTATATGGAAGGATACTGTTTGTATTCTAGCGTGGCACAATAACTTTCTACAATTAAGTATGCGAACGATGATAAAAGAAAATGAAATGCTTTCGATCTATGTATAATAATATTGTTAATATGTGGATAGAAGCCAAGCGAGAGCGCGAATAATTACAATGTTTCACGATCTATTCCTATCTATAGCATTCAAGAATTTTACTGAGATAAAACTGGGGAATATTTCGGATAATCTTGGTGCAACGAATGTTAGTACAGTGGGGCATTTGGTAGTTTTGGAATTCCTTTCGATGTAACTTGAGGCATAGTTCCTAAATACCATCCGGCGTGGAATGTCCTGTAGCGCCGAACTGTACGAAGACTTGAACATGTGCAGACATTTCGGTTGTTTTCCTAAAACAACTTTATCNAACTTTACAAAGACCTAAGTGCTAGTAATGTGAAGAACGAGACCTAAAGCTCCCTTGTTCTCAGTTAAACTGAGGATACTGTACCTCAACCATAATCTATCAAAAAGTAAAATTAACTTTACAAATACTTAAGTGCTAGTAATGTCAAGAACGAGAAACAAAAACAAAAACGTCAACGTTACTTATTAATAGTGTCTTATAACACCAAAGCTTTTTAAAAGCATTTATTTTGAAACACATTGTATAATAGTAACGTAATCAACGAAACAGAAACTATATATAAGGAAACCCCTTAATAATAATTGTAATAATTGTCTCAAGGAAGGGATGAAATCATGTTCAAGTAGCTGAACTAAGGGTTGCTCATCTGACAGTTCATTCTATTGCTGCTTTCCGCACTTAACCTTCGAAAAGTAGATTAGCAGTCTGGGAGAGAAGCGAAGGCTCACAAGTCATCTAATCACCTACGAACAGTAATTATTTTAACGTAGAGATTTTACACTAACTAACATATTAAATTCAAACTAATTGTAAATAATACTAAAAAAGACAAGAACCTTTAATATGTATACACACATATATATATATGTACACATACATATATATACGACGTATGTATGTCAGTGCTTGCTCATTATGAGGTTTACTTTGAGATATCCCATAGGATTTCGTTCAATTTCAAAAATGTAAACCGTATCAACTTAATAAATCTCTTATTTCTCAAGAGGCCTAAAGATCACTTACGTAGAATTAATTTCATAGAAAAATCTAGCTGACTAAGCATTTGATAGCACTTATTACGAGCTTATTTAACAAAACAAAGTTTATCCAAATGTATCCAATGCCACAAAAATAAAAGAAACAAATCTAACAACAGCTGCAATGTCTCATCAATATTGGATAAATACCAAAAGTGGGGATTATTTTTCACAACGTAAAAGTCTTGACAGGTATTCTTTTAAGCTGTTGAGATAGACACACTCACATAATATGGTTACTAAGAAGGATATACTATAAATCGGCATTGAAAAATGCATTTACAAGATGCACGAGGTATTTTCAGGAAATCTTTTCATTTCCCCATGGGTTTTGGTAACCAACTCAGCGAAAGATATTTGATGAATTTGTGTAAATGGAGCACCTACACCTTTCTGTAAGATATTACAACATATAGCACAGAAATATACCGATGTTTTTTTTATATGCAGGTAGATGTAGTCATATGAAGTCTCATATAAAATTATGTTCATAACTGGAATGATAAATGTCGATCCTAGTTCCAAATCCAAAGGTTTTCTTCAATGAACACTGTGAGGATTTTTCTATTTTACAACTAGTTTACAAGTGTTTAGGAAGAGGAATCCTCACAATAAAAGTTCGTTGGTCTTTCTAAATATTACATCCGTTTTTCTGAGTAACTATAAATCTCATCTATGCAGATGGAAGAATTTATAGGAAGTCGAAATTTAAAACCAAAGAAACAAGCTCATGCATATGAGATATCCAATATAAAAGTTATTTACTTTAGATTATCAAGAAACTAGTGCCTAATCGCACCACGGGCAACTTTGATATTATTTATTCACCCTGTATGGGCATTACGTACGTGTGTATGTTCCAGTTAAAGAAATATCTGAGACCTTTATAACACCAGTCAAAAGAAGTAGAAGTAAAGAAGGAAGTTTTGAAATGGCAACTGCTTTGGGTGAAGGGACAGTTGCGAGGTCTAAAGGACGGTTATACAGAAAGAGGAGTGGAGCACTTGGGATTCGCTTATCACCTGATTAACACTCGCATTAACACTCACCATGCGAGTGCGGCGGAAGAAGTGTCTTAACCGCAATTACTGACTATTCATAAGATGATAAGAAGAGACGAACGCAAGCGCTTGCTTACTACCAAAATTTCGTTCTCTTGTTGAATTCGGCAGACACCCTCAACCCTTCGGATTTATCAACATCAGTTCATAAGGTTGCGCGCGCTCTCATTCAGAAACTTTATCAGAACGGTTTTCTCTTCTGTGCCAATCATCCTCCGACGCGCGAACCATTCAAACCAGTAGTCAACCAACTACTAGATCTATTCGAAAAGAAGACTCTGTCCGTCGCGTATGATAAGTTACGAAATTTAAACAAAAATCAGAAATACTCAGCCGATGTCGAGGCGTTTATTCAACCAAAAACTGATACCGCGTAAGTTATATTTGCTTGCTTAACTTTGCATGTTGGAAACTATAAAATAAAAATTAATTCGTCGGCAACCCAACTTGGTTGCTTTAATTCGTTTACTACTCTAAAGAAGTTTTATAAAACTTTTTTAACTTTTAAACACCTTGCAAAGGTAATTTTATTATTTTGCGAACTATGTCGAGTCACTTTAAAATTACATACTAAATACTTGAAAAAGCACTTTACTAAAGCTAAATTGTTAAACTATTCAAAAAAAAAGATCTATTCGAATTTTTGGTTGTATTAAACCATAAAAATATTATATGTACGTAATAATTTCAATGAGAAAAGCGCGAAATGTACAAGTGATTTTGAGATTGTAATAAGCACTGTAGTAATGTTAACTACATATTAAAAGCTCTGCTATAGAGCTTTTCAATCACCAAACTGAAATATCTAACGATTGAATACTGTTGTTGTTATTTTCAAAAAGTTTTATAAGTGAGAACGTCTTTCAACAAAAGTGTTTATTAGATTATGAGTGCTTCTCTTATTTATGATTAGTGAAAGTTGAACAAAACTAAAAAGACTGTTTAAAAATAAATTTTGGCACAGTCTTCTGCTTTATGATTATATTGTGATATAACAAACAGTTTGATGACATGTTAAATTTTGTTTTATGTATTTAGCATATTAGATATTGAGTACACAACGACAAATTTGCTATTATTGTTTAATTAAAGGAAATAAAAAACGATTACATCAAAGATTACCACACAACATGCGATGCATCAATTAGAAAAGTTTATCGACGGTAATTTTTAAATTTTTCTCGGTAGTAGCAATTTAATCTCATCAAACTATAAATATAAATCGTATGCTCGATAAAGTACTAAATTTCTCTTGTAGCTCTGCTTTTGCATGTGTTGTATGTGTGTATCTGTATGCATCAATGGATAAGCTTAAAGGTAAACTTAGATCATAATAGGTTAACTTTATTCAAGCGGAAGTAAACTAATTCTTATCTTAATGGATGATTTGAAAACTGATTTGCATCAAACTACGTCTCACCATATTTTGAAAGCTTGTAGTTTAGTTAACTTCCAACCTCGAAGGCTAGATAATGGGTATCAGTTAGCTAAAACCATAATACATTTTGCAAAATCTCATAACGACTTGTTTAAAATTGTAATTGCTTTTTTGATGTTTCATACAAAAACAAACATCACCGGTGTGTTTATTTTGAATTAGTTTTTGAATCCAAATGAAAATTTTTATTATTGGAAATGGAAAAAAAACTAAAGAGAAAATATCATGCTTCCATTGTGGGAAAATGTCTAAAAATATTTTTGTATATTTATCTGTTTCTTATTAATTGATACTTAAATACGACTATAAATAAATGTCGTAATTACAAACGGCTGAGGTGGAATTAATTATTTTCGGATGTCCGGGGATGACGATTAATTTTGAAAAAAATCTCTGTGAGAGATGATCCTGTTTTTCTATTCGAAAGCTTAAGAAGGAATTCGTTTAATCCTGTTGCAATGGTGTCTCAGCAGGTAGCGTATATTGGTAGGTAGCAGAGTGAAAGAATATCGGGCATTTAATTTCCCAAAACGGTTTTTCGGGACCCATCTCTTTTCCGAAGCAAACGCATATTAATAAATAATGAAAATGGAAATTGTCGATAGCCCTGTGAGAAGACAACAAACGAAACTTACAACCTTTTTTTAAATATAAATAACCCAGAAATTTATCGGCCCCGAAGAGGAAATAAATACATCGTTTTGATACATCCCTGAACGTTAAATTAACTGTTAAAAAAACGGCGAGCAACAAAGGAATTCTTTTTACAAAAAACATAAATATAAAGAGTACACGGATGATGAAGTAGAGAAATGTAAATTGGGTATACACATAGGATAAAGAAGAATTTTCAAGAAAGGAACAGTTTTCATTTAATTTTCAGAGAACGCTAAAGCCAACTTTCTCTGTAAAACTAGATTCTAAAAAACTACCTAATATTTACTAACAATATTTTATAAATTTTGTTCTAGATTACATATTACACAAAAA